GAGCCTGGAGGTTCTCCGGGTGCTTCGTCTCGGCGGGAGCCACTCTCTCCACAGGAGCTGCGCGAGTGGTTTGCCCGGCGCTGGAGACGTGCTGCTGGAGCTGGAGGTTCTTCGGCTGCTGAGGGTGCTGGTGCCGCGGGTCCCGGAGGTGCTCGTACTGGGAGTACTGGAGCTGCTGGGCCTGCGGGTACGACTGGAGCTGGAGCTGCTGAGGGTGTTGGCGCTGAGGCTACTGCTGTCGGTCCTGGAGGCGGTCCTACTGGGGGTGCTACTGGTGCTGCTGGAGGTACTGGAGCTGGAGGTGCTGCTGGCGCTGGTGCTGCCGCTGGGGGTACTGGTGTTGTCCCTGCTGTGTCTGGAGTCGCCGCGCGGCCTCGGCCGTACTTCGTTCCGCTCCTTCAGCAGGTTCTTGGTCTCCCGCCTTCTTCTGGTCCTCCTCCTCCTTTAGAGTGTCCACAGCCTGTCCCGTCACAGTTACAGTTACAGCCGGCCTCCCCACTGCCCGCTCCTTCTCCCTACACTGGTCCTACTGGAGGTCTTACTGAGCGTCGTGAGCCTGCGTCTCGCCCTGCGTCGCCTGTCCGTGCTGCTCGCACTAGTGGTCGTGGTTCGCGTCAGCGTCCTCCTCCTGTCCCTGGCACGCACCGGATGTCTCTGCGTCCGTCCACTGCTCCTCTGCGTGCCCCTTTGCCTTCTCCTCCTGAGTCCTCTCTTCCTGCTCTTCCTGACCCGGAGTCGGACTCCCTTCGTGCTGCCAGTCCGACTGTCACGCGTCTCCTTGCTACTGTTGTCACTGACCCTTCCTTTGAGTCCACTGTTGCGTCTGCCCTAGTTGCTGAGCTCGTCGACTTTGCTGCTCGCTGTCGTCTAGACTACGCTGCTAGTCTTGTTGCTGAGTCTGAGTCTGTCTGTCCTCCGTCCGTCGGGGGTGAGTGTGCCCTTGGCACGGACGTCCTTGAGGACAGGCAGGAGGAGTTCCAGTGTCTGGCTGCTGCTTCACCTCATCTCGTGTCCGTACTGCTTACCCCTGAGGGAGACCCGGATGCACTTGACATCCCGACTCCGCGCTCTTACGCGGAGGCGATAGAGGGTCCCTACTCCTCTCAGTGGCAGGCAGCTATGGACGCAGAGATGGCTTCCTGGAAGTCCACAGGCACCTACGTTGACGAGGTTCCCCCACCTGGGGCGAACATCGTCAGTGGCATGTGGATTTTCAGGGTGAAGCGGCCGCCGGGTTCTCCGCCTGTCTTCAAGGCGCGTTACGTGGCTCGTGGCTTCAGTCAGCGGCAGGGAGTTGACTACTTTCAGACCTTTTCTCCCACCCCGAAGATGACCACTCTTCGGGTACTGCTGCACATAGCTGCTCACCGCGACTACGAGCTGCACTCTCTTGACTTCAGCACTGCTTTCTTGCAGGGCAGCCTGCACGAGGAGATCTGGCTGCGTCGCCCACCTGGCTTCACTGGGTCCTTTCCTCCTGGCACCCAGTGGAGCCTCCGGCGGCCAGTCTACGGTCTCCGCCAGGCACCGCGTGAGTGGCACGACACACTGAGGACTACACTTGCGGCTCTTGGGTTTGCTCCCTCTACTGCCGACCCGTCGCTGTTTCTGCGCACCGACACTTCTTTGCCGCCGTTCTACATCCTCGTGTACGTCGACGACTTGGTCTTCGCCACAGCTGACACTACTGGACTCGCCCACGTGAAGTCCGAGCTGCAGAAGAGACACACGTGCACAGACCTGGGTGAACTGCGCAGCTACCTTGGCTTGCAGATCACCCGGGACAGAGCACGCCGCACCATTACCCTGACTCAGTCACACATGGTGCAGCAGGTCCTTCAGCGCTTCGACTTCACGTACTCCTCGCCTCAGGCCACTCCTCTGTCTACTCGCCACTCGCTCTCAGCTCTGCCTTCGGATGAGTCCGTAGAGTCGAGTGGCCCGTACCCAGAGCTTGTTGGCTGCCTCATGTACATGATGACCTGCACACGACCTGACCTTGCATACCCTCTTAGCATTCTTGCACGCTATGTTGCTCCTGGGAGACACAGACCGGAGCACATGGCTGCAGCGAAGAGGGTGTTGCGCTACTTGTGCAGTACGTCGGGCATGGGGCTTGTGCTTGGAGGGCAGAGTCCAGTGGTCCTCACTGGGCACGCAGACGCTTCTTGGGCTGACGACCAGGCTACGCAGCGGTCGTCACAGGGTTACACCTTCAGCCTTGGTTCCGGCTCTGTTTCGTGGCGGGCTACCCGCTCGTCTTCTGTTCTCGGCTCCAGTTGTGAGGCTGAGATCTACGCCGGGGCCATGGCTGCACAGGAGCTTCGCTGGCTCACCTACCTGCTCACTGACCTCGGAGAGCCGCCTCGTTCTCCTCCAGTGCTGTACGTAGACAACAAGGCCATGCTGGCCTTGTGTCGAGAGCAGAGACTGGAGCACAGAACGAAGCACATTGCTCTCCGCTACTTCCTTGCTCGTGAGCTACAGCAGCGTGGTCAGCTACGGCTTGCGTACGTGGCCTCTGAGGCCAACACTGCTGATATCTTCACCAAGGCACTTCCGCCTTGTGATCATCAGCGCTTCTGTACTCAGCTGGGTCTTGTGCCTACCTTGCCTCACTTGCTCACCCCTTGACCTTGCTTGTACTGTTGCATATATATATACACCTGCTCTTGCTTGTCTAGCCTTATATATATATGCAATCCTGTATGTGAACTGGCCTTGTGGCCTTGAACTTGTGCTCGGAATGTGTGGTGACTTTGTGATCCACCCTGAGCTTGTTTTGCTTTGCTTGACTGGTCTTGTGACCCCTTGTTCTCCCCCACTTTGCCTATGGGGGTGTGTCAGATTTATATGACATAGCTACTGTAGGCTATAGTGGGGTAGCACATATGGGGTACAGTTTTCTAGGGTTTGCTTTTGTACCCAACTTTCCTTTAGTCATTTCATTCCTCGTTTCTTCTCATATACCATCGTCAAGAGCAGTTTACTCGGTGGGTTTCTAAGTTGTTTAAGTATGCCAGTACCGACCATTGGCATTCGATGTCGGAACCAGCTGAACGCGCCGAGCGTATAGCGAATAGTATCTTAGAGGCAATGCGAAACGTCCCCCCCGTTCCGGATGCACGACCAAAAGCCCCTAGAGATAATGCCCCGCTGACACAAGGTGGAATATACTCCTCGAGGGGTGCGGCGCTAAAGGCAGTGCAGGCCTTCGCGTTGCGGCACCGTTTTGGATTCGGGACTGTCGAGGTGGCGGATGCCCACGTGATACTCCAATGCAAAACCGCCATGCATGGTGAATTGCCCATCTGCCCTTGGGAATGCAGTTACAGTAAGATTGTACATGGCGGATTCTGGGAAGTGACGTCGCTTTCCCCCCTGACGCTCACATCTGCAGCAAATTCAAGCGTGAGCAAGGAGCAAACGCCATCGCCTTTCATTTCGGCGAAGATTTTGCAGCAGATTCTCTCGGCCCACACCAAGTTTGTCATCAGTTACAAGCAGGCGTGGCGGCTGCGTGAGGCAATCCAGAAGGAAATGTACGGGGATTGGCAGGAGTCGTTCAGGTTGCTCCCGGAGTTGGCTCGCAGGCTCCAGGAGAACGATCCGGGTGGAAAGTTCAAGATTCAGACGGTCGACGGATGCTTCCACCGGATGTACATTCAGCCATCCGCATCCCGCGGTGCGCTTGGTTTTTGCCGCCCCGTTGTTGCACTAGACGGGACCTTCCTAATCAGTGCTCAACGCGCAACCCTGCTCATTGCCGTGGTCCTCGACGGTAACCAGAAGATTCCGATGCTGGCGTGGGCTCTCGTCGAAGGAGAGAACAAAGATTCGTGGTCCTGGTTCTGCAACACTTTCTGGAGAGCTTCCCGGAGTGGCCGCACCGTGACGATGCATCTATTATCAGCGATCGCGACAAGGGCCTGATTCCCGCTGCACGAGATGTACTCCGGGCTGGCATACCTCATTACTTTTGTGCTTGGCATCTCCATCAGAATGTTGTGAAATTTGGAGAGCTCTTTTCTATTGGCGTCTTGTGAAGTGCAGGGACGACGACAAATGGGACGCATTGGTTGCAGCAGGCCGCCGTGACTTCAAGGAAATGATGAACCATCTCCTCGGCGTCGAGAAGCCGATCTCGGGTCCAGCACCGGCAGATGCTGCTGAGCAGCAACGTCCCGCATAACAGATCCGTAAGTACAGAAGCTTGTCGGTGCGGCGCAAGACATGGCCATGGCGGCCTGCCTGCCGATTGCCCTGCCCATCATCAATCTTCTCTCCGCAACCAGCTCAGCATGATCACAGTCTGCTTGCACCGTGCGACTTTCCCAACGTCGCGACCGTTGCTAGACTTTTCCTGGGATTTCCTGGAAGCTCCAGGAGGAACCGTGCATGCTTCTAGACCAGTTCAAGCTACGAGATTATCGCAGTCATCTCGAATCGTCTGGCGATTTTTTGCGACGACTACGGATTGATTTTCACCACTTGCATTGGCTCTCGATTTTCTTGGTAGCCTTCTGGGCGCGCGTAATTCTGGCGTTCCACGATCGCGCATGGTCTGAAGTAATTCGACAAGTTGACAAGTTCGAGAGCGGTTCGACTGGTTTGACGGGCTTGAGAAGTTGACTCGAACTGTTTATTTCAAATAACGGAAAGGTTCGCGAGGTTCGACCCGTTTGACTGGTTCGATCTGGTTTGAGCGGAGAGTGTTTCGACTGATCGACCAGTTCAAATCAAGCTGCTCGACAGGTTCGAGAATCTCCCTGGCGACTTGTAAGCTGATCTTAGTAGGGCGTCTGACGTGTCTCGTCAGTGATCGGAAGTCGTACGTGATTGCGTGAATGGGACCGGTGGTCGCGCTGCTGCACGGCTTGCAGGTGGCGGGCAAGCTGCTGCTTTGAGACGTCTCTCCCACACGTGCGGCTTGTGACTTTTGGGTCAACTCAAAGGTCAACTCAAAGGTCAACTCAAAAGTCAACTCAAGAGTCGCGTGAATGGGCTTGGTCGTCGCGCTCCTGCACGGCTTGCAGGTGGCGGGCGTGCTGCTGCTGCTCCTCCACACGTACGGCTGGTCTGTCGCCGCCCGCAACCGCCGCAAGTCGCTCGATCGCCTCCGCTCGCGTCGCCGCGCGTCCGGCGAAAAGCACCCTCAACGCGCGACGCTAGCGCGCGGCCCGCAGAAATCTGGTGGGGGTCCTCGCTGTACTGACGCTGGCGGTGGTGATGGCGGTTCCGATCCGCGAGCCCGAGCGAATCCTCGTAGTGGTAACACGGCGGGAAACGCGGAGAGCTCGCGCTGCCCGCATTGGCCGGCGGTGGCGGTGGTGATGCCGGTGCGCGGATTTCACGCGCACACGGCGAGCAACTGGGCAACGCACATCACGGCGGATTATGCGGGGGCTATCGAATTTCTCATCGTCGTGGAGAGCGAGGCAGACCGTGCGTACGGCGAGGCGTGCAAGCTCGCCGCGCGTTTCAACGCTGCGCATGAAGGGGGGACAGAACGGAGAGCGGAGGGGGAGGGAGGGAGGGGGCAAAAGGAGGAAGGCAGGGGGCATGGGGCCGCAGGCGGAGGGCAGGGGAGAGAATTGATGAACCCAGGGGAGGCGGTTTGTGGAGGGGAGACCCAAGCAGGTGAATGTGACAGTGCTCGCAGGCAGCAGGGAGAGGTGCATCTGAGGAAGGTTCGTGTGGTGGTAGCTGGCACCTCCACCACATGCAGCCAAAAGATCCACAATCAGCTGGCCGGCGTCGCTGCCGCCCGTCCAGAAGCAGAATTTGTCCTTTTCCTGGACGACGACGCGAGAATGTACCCAGAGGCGATCACTTACCTCGTAACAGACATGCTTTGCCGACCTGACACATTCCTTGTAACAGGTTACCCGTTTGACATTCCGAACCCGGGGTCACTGTTTTCGTACGCGGTGTTAGGGTTTCATCTGGTCCCACTGGTTAACTTCTCGTATGATGCTGGCACAGAGTATATCTGGGGCGGGTGCATGATGCTCAGGCTCGAGGATTTCCGAACCAACAGGCTCGGCATGGTGGATGTGCTTCGGAAGGGAGGCTACTCTGATGACATGACTCTGGGGGCAGTGGGCAACAGCATACGGAGCGACTGCAGCAAGAGCAGCAGCGGCAACAGCGAGGGCAGCAACGGTGGCAGCAGAAACAGCAGCAAGAGCAGCAAGGGGAGCAGCTTAGGCAGGAAGGCGTGCCAAGAGGAATCATTGCCGTTGATGGACAAGGGATGTGAGAAGCGGGAGCAGCAGGCTGGTAGCAGCCTTCCCTGCAAAGCCCCGGACTGTGCACTGCGACTAAGGCTCAGCAGCCTCAAAGCCAACAGTCCCAGCACCCCCAGCAACCCCCATTCCCCCGGCAGCCCTGGCAGCAGCGACCCGCCCATGCTAGCGCCAGCCTACGCGCTCCTAGCCCACCCCTTAGACGCCCACTTCACTGCCGGTCAGTTCTGGAGCTACCTGCTGCGGCAGTTGTTTGCACTCACCACGTACTTCTCCCCGCTCAACCGCCGCCTCAACCTCTGGCTGCTGCTCATGGGAATGGCCTTTAGCTCCGTCATGACTGCTTCCATCGCCATCTCCCTGGTGTTTCTCGCAAAGCATGTGCTGCCGTGTGTGGCCGGTTCTGCTGCTGCACCCGTATTGGCTGGGGTTCAGTTGGTAGGAGCAAGAGTTCAGCTGGTTGGTTCGCTTTTGGCTGCTCCCGTGTGCTCGGCTCCTGTGGTCGGTCTGGTTTGCCGTGTGCTGCCGTTCGGTGCTGCTGCTATGGCACCGTCGCGGACTGGCGAAGCTGTAACAGGAGCGGCAGCAGCAGCAGGAGCGGCAGCAGCAGCAGCAGCACCAGGAGGAGCGACAGCAGCAGCAGGAGGAGCAGCAGGTGCTGCCACTGATGCATCTCCTGCATGCCCTAGTGGGTTTGCCTTAGCTCAAGCCAACACAACATGCAGCATTCTGAGTGTCGGAATCTCACCAGAAGCTGTCTCATCGCCAGCAGCAGCAGCAGCAGCAGCAGCAGCAGCAGCAGCAGCAGCAGCAGCACAGCTCTCCGCAACCAACAACACACTAGGAGTTTACTTGAAGCACCCTGCTCTCCTCCTCCCCCTCCTTCCCTCACTCCTTCACCACACCATCACCCACCTCTCCCACCTCCCTCTAGGCGTCTCACTCGCCCTGTTCCACTTCGCCTCCTTTGCCCTCGCCTCTCTCGCCCTCCGTGCCATGATTGCCTCGCACGTGCAGACCTGCCGCTTTCTTGACCCTCAATCTCCCTTTTGCCCAGATCATGCAGCGATAGCGGTGGTGGATCGAGGGAAATGTGACTGCAGAGGGCTGCAGTATGCGCTGTGGCGTGTGTGGGTTGGGTACCTTATACACAACAGCATGTACCCTTTTTGTGCCTTGCTGACTTGCTGGGTGCCGTACATAGACTGGGCTGGTATTCGTTATAGGCGGCGTTCTGGCCGAATTACCAGGGAGTAGGGCATGTATAAGAGGCTACTTACTCAGTTAGTTATCCCTCAGTGTCCTTATAGTTCATTAATAAGTCTTATATCTGTCATTCACATAGGTTAGTGTGATACAGGGTAGTGCGGAAACAGGAAGCTAGTGGTTGCTATATATGGAAACACAGGAGGTGATAGAAATACCGGTACCAGTTATTATTTGGAAGGGGCTGAGCTTGCCCCATTATTTGCGCGCGCTTTGGTAAGCTATGCTTGCGCTACAACGAATTTGCGCTTATGGGGAACATGTAGTGCGGCGATCACGTTGTCGGACCCGGGAAGCGACACCGTGAAAACATCGTCCGTGGTCGCATTTGCCTCTGCGACCTCGTCAACAGTCGTCGTCGTTTCCGCGAAAGCTGGCTTTGCGACTTCCTGGGCCTCCGTGGCGACAACGATCAGCCCCTTCCTCTCGGGTACGCCGTACGCGGTAATAACATTATCGGAACCCGGAAGTGACATCTGAAAGGAGGTGACCTTTTTCTTATTTCCACGGATGTTGAACGCCTGAATCACATTGTCAGAACCGGGCAGCGACACGGATGCAGTGTTGTCGTCAGCAGAGGAAGCAGAAGCAGACTTGGGGGAAAGCGAGGCGGTAGCAGTAGTGGCCGTGGCAGTAGCGGTGGTGGTGGTTGAATCGCGATCTGACTCGTCGGTAATCGCCACTACGTTGCTCTTTCTGTGGGGCACGTTGCGGGCCCAGATCTCGTTGTCCGAACCAGGAAGAGACACGTGGAAGGTGGAATCCTCCTCGTCCTTCGTCACCTTCTCGTCCGCGACTCCCGCATCGTTTGCGACGACAACGGTGCTGCGAGTCGCCAGCGTCGCAGGAACGCCGAACGCGACGATCTCGTTGTCGGAGCCAGGGAGCGACACGCTGAAGCTGCTCCTAGGCTTGGAAGCCACGTGGCTCCGGGGCTTGTGGATCGCCGCGATGACGTTGTCAGAACCAGGCAGAGAGACGGACGTGAGGCTGGCCTCCTCGTTCTCTTCGTTGGCGATCAGTCGCGAAAAGACGTCGTCGTCATCGTCGTCCTCGTTGTCGTCATCTTCGTTGTCGTCATCTTCGACGATCATGTCGTCGCCATTGTCGTCATTGTCGTCCGTGTCGTCAGCGGGTTCGGCGATCTTCGCCGGCTTCACATGCACGCGGGAGATGATCAGGTTGTCGGATCCGGGTAGCGACACTGCCACGTCAGCAGCAGCGGGATCCACGTCCTCCTCGAACGGCGCGACTTCGGGCGCAACGACGACAGTGGAGCTCGTTGGCTCGCGAGCTGGGTGAGACGGGAATGGGAGTATTCGTGGAAAAGGGTTGAATGGGTGTGCGATATGCGATGAGAGTGGATGCGCGATGGGGATTGGATGTGTGACTCGCAGTAGGGAAAAGCAGGGTGTCAGGCGAACTCAGAAACAACTGCAGCTGAGTCACTTGCGGGAGGAGTCCGAAGTGTGCGGCAAGATTGCAATCAACCCAACGGCGAACGGAACGACAATGGCGGGTGATTGAACAATGGCGGGGGTGTGATAAGCTTTCCCAGTCGGCGCTTGATGAGTCGAGTGCTCACCTTGGGAGTCGTCGGATTCGGAAGCGGATGGGAGGATGGCGCCTTGAGCGCCGTCGTTCCAGGCGGCCATGGCCAAGCGGAAGAGGCTCGACGCGGAGATGGGGGATTGGCTCTGCGATGCGGTTTCTGCGCTAAGAGTCGTGGGGATGATTGGCCGAGCGCCGTGAGCGATGGTCGCGCTTGCAAGCACGCAGAGAACGAGAAGGGATACCGCTTTGTGAGCCATGGTGATTCTCTTTATCTGCTTGAGGGAATCGCGCGGACTCCAGAGACGAGCAGAGCGATAGAGACTAACGTGGTGCGGAGAGGAGCTAGGTGCAGGGCTGCTATATGTAGATCGGGAAAGTGAACCACGCTAGAAGGCACTGGACTGGAGTTTAGAATGGATGTAGAAACGAGTGCTTCGGCTGTACTATATATGGTGTGGAACTAGGACATGTCTGTAGGTCTCTTGTTACGTGAGGGGCATCAGTCAGTAGCTGTGCCAGGGAGAGTGTGACAGGGTCACAGAGGGAACCCTCCTGTGGGGAGTTTGCTGCAATGTGGCGCAGCGACATGACGATTTGCGTGAGGGACGATGGGCTGTGCTGGTCAGGTGAAATTCGTGGCGCCATTCGGAAGAGGGAAATTCGCTGGCGAAATTCCAAATTCTCACGAGCGAAGCGAAGTCCACAACGGTTGCCCCGATAGTGGCCATTGGATGACGTCGAAGCGCACTAGGGGCGATTCGGTTGGCCTAATGTGCCCACTCGCGAACATGTTGGCCCCATAGATTGCAAGCATGGGAACAGGTCATTGCTACGTCGCTTTCTAAAGCGTACGAGGTGAACGTAGTTTTCCGGTTGGCAGCTTCCCTATAGAACGTTATTTAGAGTATAGCATTTTTTAGCAACACATGACATTTGTATGATCCGCTTACGGGGTCTGACTATGAAGGCAGCTGTCAGTTGCGAGGGTGAGCTGACAATAATCTGACTGCCGTCGTCGTCAGCAAGTTCGGCTTCCACGCCTTCAGAAAAATACATCGACCAATCCCTGCAATCTACACGGCACTGTGACGTGGAACGGCGTGCCAGGAACTGTGGAGTGGAATGCCAAAATTGGAAAGATTACAGATTCACCGAACTCGCTTTCTTTGTACAGTACAATTGATGCCTGTTTGAGCCCCTCCCGGTTGCCTTGTGAAGGGGGCGTATAAGCTGTATAATATTTCGCATAATTTTCGTCAATTCGCAGCTAGCTAAAAAGGATTCGCAGGTGCTTATATTAAGTATCTGTAACATTAATCGTTGACATTTTGACTTCAGTCTCTTCAGTTTGACTTTAGTCTGTTCGCTACTATTGGTCCACAACCACGCGACGCGCTTGTATCGTGGGTGCAACAGGCTGGGGAAAGGACCTCGGGTGCAGCGTTTCCATCCGGTGCAGGGCAAATTCGCGTGCACTGGCTGGGCATCATGTGTACAGCATCACTCTTCTTGGGACCGTCGATGGAACGTTTCTTTGTAAAATACAGGTATAGATGAACAGCTGGATCCTCTCTTGCGTCCGCCCAAAAGCTCGAAAAGCCAATGAACATGTCGCAAAACAATGTATCAAACAGGTATTGGTGCATGCTCCAGCTACCAACTTCACTTGCTCTTCTTCCCACTCCTCACAAATCCTCACTAGTTTCCCCCCTCTTCTGATCGACCAGATTATTCTCACCAAGGCAAGATGACATGCCTGGACCAGGCCCTACTCGATCCGCAAGCACCGCGCGCTACTCTCACCGTCGTTCCCTGCCGTCCTGCATTCGCCATGCCCAGCCACCATGCGAGTCGCGACAGATTGGAGCAGCTCTGCTCGCGAGTTACAAACGCCGCCCTCGCTTCAGATCCCAACGAGTCTTCAAATCCCACGGGATCTTCAGATCCAATCGGCTCTTTTTTTAAGGGGCCTTCTATTCCTATCGGCTTGTGTTTGGAAGGATCTTCGGATCCCGCTCGTTGCTTCCTCGAAGAGCGTCACGATCTTGATGATTTTGACGGCTTGGGCTGTTTCGCCGTCTCCCTGCCGACGGAGAACGTGTTTGCGACCAGCCTACCCCCTGATGGCCGTCTGCTAGAGTTAACGGCTAGGGGGTTGGAGGACATTCTCGCGACTCGGCTTTCGGCAGCTGATCTGGCGGGAGCCTCAGATTCTGTTCCCATACCATCCGCTCGAAGCGCCTGTAAGGATCTTGCCGCTAGCTTTGCTGTTGACGTGGCAGAAAATCCGGCCAATGAGGATCTCGCCAGCGTGTCAGATCCCGACAGTGATTGGATCATGCGGTCACGCGACTGGCTGCTTGAAGCGCGGGATTCGCTGTTGGAACGCAAATACGAGGTCACGGCATTCACGACTCGCGAGGTAGGAACGGGGTTTGGGCCGTGAAGGTTCGAGGGCGTGAATGGTTAAAGCCGTGAATGGTTAAAGTCGTGAATGGTTGGAGGGTGTGAATGATTTAAGCCGTGAATGATTAAAACCGTGAATGCAAGCAGACAAACCACTCTAGTTTGAGCAATGCTCCATGCGTGAATAGTTTCAAACTATTCAGCTTGATCCAGTTAGCGCGAATACTTAGCACGTTGTCTCTCCCATCCCGTCCTTCCACCTCTATGCACTCACTCCGCTTCTTCCCCGCCCCCGCCCAATGCCCCCCTCCTCCCCTTTCCCATCCGCCCCCCGCTCCTCCATCCGCTCCGTTCTTTCCCCCCCGTTCTCTCTCCCCCGTCCCCCCGTGCCGGCAGGGGTTGGACCTTTGGTCGCTCGCCGCGCAGTGCGCCAACCCGTACGAGCTCCTTGCTGACGTGGCATCGCTAAACCCCAACCCCGTTGCGGCAGCATCGACCTCCGCGTTGGCCTCTGGAATCTTGCCCTTCCCCATCTCCACCTCCCCCCAACCCAGTTGCGCTTCCCCGCAACCCTCAAGCGCTTCCCCCCAACCCATAAGCGCGTTCCCTCACGCCTCCGCCGCCCCGCGCGCCATAAGCCGCGCGTTCTTCAAAATGGTCGAAATGACGCGCCTTTTCCGCCTGCTGGGGGGAGCCGAAGGCGGAAGCGCTTCCCCGGATCTGCCCCGAAAGGTTTCCGCTTCCCCCGTTTCCCCTCCCCGGCCCCTCCCGCTTGTCTCCGCGCACCTGTGTGAGGGGCCTGGGGGGTTCATTCAAGCGGTGCAGCTGCTGCTGGCGGAACAGGCCGGGGGGAGAGGGGGGGTAGTGGCGAAAGGCGGAAAGGGAGGGAAAGGGGGAGGTGGAGGGGTAGGGGGAGCTGATGTGGGAGCGGAGGTGGCGGGTCGTGGTTTGCAGCACCTGTGGTTCGGAATCACTCTCCGAGGCAAGGCAGCTGTAGGCTCGGCAGCTGTAGGCTCGGCTGCTGTTGGCTCGATTGTTGGTTCGCCGCCTATTGGTTCGGTTGCGGGTTCGAAAATTTGTGTGGGGCTGGGTACTGGGTCTGGTGTGAGTGCCGGTGAGGAGGGGTGCAGAGCGGTGGTGGAAGGGCATAGGGGGAGGGGGAGGGGGAGGGGGACGGGGAGTTTTTTGGGTGGGATGGTTCAAGGAAGGGGGGGTGGGGGAAGGGGAATAGGAGGTGGGAGAGGAGGGAGAGGGGAGTGGGGAGGAGGAGGGGGAGGACAATACAGGGGAGGAGGAGAATCCGGAGAAGGAATCAATAGTGGTAGAGGGGAAAGGAGATCAAGGGCAATTCCTGTGCCAGCGTCCGCCAGGGGGGGCAGAGGTGGGGGCAGGAGCGGCAGGGGTGGGGGAGGGAGTGGCTGCAGCAGCCCTGGCAGCAGCAGAAGCAGCGGCAGCTGGGGCAGCTGGGAAAGCAGCAGCAACAGCAGCAGCGGTGGCAGCAGCAGGAGTGGCAGCGCTGAGTGGAGGGAGCATCCGCTGCATTGGAAGCCGCAGCAGCAGCAGCATCAGCAACAGCCGCAGCAGCAATGGGTACAGCGACAAAAGCAGCAGCACCAGCAGTGGCAGCAACAGCACCAGCAGCAGGAGAAGCAGTGCGGTTCGCAGAGGGCAGGTGTTGGCTCGGGAGGTGTTGGCTCGGCAGGTGTTGGCTCGGCAGGTGTTGGCTCGGCAGGTGTTGGCTCGGCAGGCGTTGGCTCGGCAGGCGTTGGCCCGGCAGGCGTTGGCCCGGCAGGCGTTGGCCCGGCAGGCGTTGGCCCGGCAGGTGTTGTCTCACTTGGAGCAATCAACTGTTCGGGCGAGGAGGCAGGGACGCAAGAAATAAAGCAGGGAGCGGGGCAGGGAGGAGAGCAGGGAGGGGGAGGAAAGGCGTGTAAGAGCAGGAGGAAGAGGGAGAAGAAGCGGTCCAAGCAACAGCAGGTGACAGGGGAGGTGCAGCAGCAGCGATCTCCTCTGCGCCCTGTCAACCTGCAACCCCCTTTGCTGCCTGCTGCTGCCGTTGCTCCCACCACCGCCTTGCCCGCACCTCACCTTGCGCCCCACCCTGCCGCCCACCCTGCCGCCCACCCTGCCGCCCACCCTGCCGCCCACCCTGCCGCCCACCCTGCCGCCCACCCTGCCGCACACCCTGCACCCCACTCTTTTCCCCAAACTGTCCTGCACCCTGCCCCCTCTGCCGCCTCTGGGCATGCACCTGACTTTGTGCTGTGCCTGCTGGGAAGGCGGAGAGGTGGGCAGGGAGGACGGTGTGTGGAAGCACGGGGAGAGCAGATAAGTAATGGTGGTGCGGGTATCCTAGGCAAGTATGGTGGTACAGAGAAGGACGGGGGATGCAGTGGTGATGGCTTAAAGGAGGTGGAAGAGGAGAGAGAGGAGGGAGAGGAGGGAGAGAAAGAGGAGAAGGAGCGCTGTGCCCTCTGCAGTCCTCCGCACAGCTCTGCCTCGTTACAGTTACCTTCGTTACAGTCACACCCTGATCAGCTGCTTCCACGATCGATCGTGTCAACCCCCATCAGCTTCCAGGCAGCTTCCTTCCTGTCCCACGGCCATGTGCTGTATGGGATGGACGGCACAGGAGACCTGACACGTCATGCCAACGTGGCAGCCTTCGCTGCTGACGTCATCAGGGGCAGCCACGTGGACGCAGGTTTGAACAGTTCAGCAGACTGCCAGGCTGGCAAGTCAGCGATGGAGGGAGAGGGGGCAATGGAGGGAGGGGCGGCAGTGGTGACAGCGGACGGGGGGTTGGACAGTTCAGTGGATTGGGATCGACAGGAGGCCATGCACGCCCGCCTTATCTTTTGCCAAGTGCATGCTGCACTCAAGATGCTGGTGAGCCTTATATTAGCTCAATTGTCCTCTTGTGGTGTGGTGGTGGGTCATGGTGGAGGCCATGCACTGCCGCCTTGTCTTCTGCCAAGTGCACGCCTCTCTCAAGTTGCTGGTGAGAGCAGGTAACTCATTGCCATGCCTTGTTCACTGCTGGCAACTCATTGTAATTGGTTGGTCTGTCCAAATTGAGCTGGTTGGTACGACCATGCGGTTGGTTAACCAACAATGGCCATTGTTTCTCTGGTTGGCCATTGTTGGTTCATCAACCCTTTAGAAGCGTCTCTCTTTCCTCTCTTGCTGCTTCTGTTCCCTCCACCTCGTTCCCCTTCTTGTCCCCTGTGTTCCCCCCCCAACTCTCTCCCACCAGGCGCCAGGAGGAACGTTCGTGCTCAAGCTGCTGGGCGGATCGCTGCTCTCAACAGCGTCTCTCCTCGCCCTGCTCGCCCTCTCCTTCAGCTCCATCCATCTCGTCCGCCTGCGCTCCTCCCGAGCCTGCAACGCCGAACGTTACGTGGTGGCTCGGGGATTCAAGGGGAGAAATGCAAATTCTACAGCCTCCCCCATTTCCTCCACCACCCCATCTCCTGCGCCCACCTCTCCCTCCTCCCCCTCTCTCTCCCACATTCTCCTCGACTTTAACCGCATATCACTCCAGTGGGAATCCCTCCCTCCTCCCCTCTCCCCGCTCCTCGCCCCCGCCCTCACTCTCCCCCTCTCCGACTCCTTCCTCCGCGCCCTCCTCTCCTTCGAGGCATGCATGCAGCAGCAGCAGGCGCAGGCCATGGGGCGCGCGCTGCTGATAGGGGAGCAGCTTGTAGAGGGGATACCGAGAGGGCCGGCGAGGAAGAGCAAGTGTTACAGGAAGAGGAGGGTGCTGTGGAGGGAGGAGGAGGAGATGAGGAGGAGAGGGTGTGTGCTGGCCAAGGGGCTTGGATTGGGAGTGAAAGAGGGCATGGCGTGGGTTTGATTAGTGTTGTGTGTAGCCTGTATGTATGTATTTCAGTAGTAGTAGCAGCAGCAGCAGCAGTAGTAGCAGCCGCACCAAGTAGGGCATGGAGCGGTGCGTATATGGTAACAGCTTGTCAAGAGGATGCGGGTGAGGAGCAAGTGTTTTGGCTTATAGGAAGAGGAGGGTGGCTTCGAGGGAGGAGGGGGAGTTGAGGAGGGGGTGTGTGCTGGCCAGAGGCTTGGCTTGGGTGTGAAAGAGGGCATGGAGTGTGAGTGTGTGTGTGTGAATAGTGCAGTGTGTATTTAGTGTGTATGTATATTAGTAACAGCAGCCGCAGGCAGCAAAGGCCATGGCTTCAGCATTGCTTGTATGGTTCCAGCTTGTAGAGGGGATGCGGAGTAGCCGGTGCTACATCAAGAGGAGGCTGTTGTGGAGGGTGGAGAGGAAGATATGTGGAGGGTGTGTGTGCTCGCTCGCCTTTTGAGCCGACTCAAAAGTCAGGGGATACGGAGGAGTAGCTGGTGCTACATCAAGAGGAGGCTGTTGTGGAGGGTGGAGAGGAAGATATGTGGAGGGTGTGTGTGCTCGCTTGCCTTTGAGCCGACTCAAAAGTCAGGGGATACGGAGGAGTAGACGGTGCTACATCAAGAGGCGGTTGTTGTGGAGGGTGGAGAGGGAGACAAGGAGGGGGCGTGTGCTCGCCAAGAGCCTTTGCTTGGATGCGAAAGAGGGCGTGGGAATGTGTGATTTGTCTTTTACGTGTGTACTAGTCTCTGTTTATTTACTAGCTTGTGAAGGAGGAGGTTATGGAGCAAGCTTGGTGTACAGTAAAGCTTTGTGCAACGTGTCAATTGTAAATTGCATTTGTGGTATGTGTAGCAGCAGTAGCCAACAGATGGCAAAGAGGCGAAGGTTTCTAAATTAGCAGCACATTATAGGGTTGTTATTTGTGAGTTTGTTTCCCGAGCAGGGTAGTGAAGTTGCTTCATGTATGCGAAGTGACAATTCTAGCACAATAAAAAAAGATAGATTAGCAATTTAGCATGTAGAGGAAGCTGTATGTAACGAGGATTTCCTCCTCCATCCCCACCTCCTCTGCCGCCGCCACCACCACCACCACCACCACTACCACCACCTCCACCTCCCCTGCGCCAGGAGAGCACATCCGTCTGTTCAGGGGAAAAGTCGAGACTCGAGTATCTGAGTCTCGTAAACTTGGATCAGCTCGGAGCGCTTCTCCCCACTCGTGTTTCACCGCTGAAACTGTTCTCGCTCATTCCGCATTGGAATTACAGAAGCGAGTAAGAGCAAGGCTGCCTCTGCGTCAACAGTTCGTGTGACTTTCGCTGACACGGCTTCAAAGCGTTTGAGAGGAGAATTAGCGGAACCATTTCTGTGGTAACCCGATATTAGCGAAACGGCTCATGTGGTAACCTGATGGTACAGGCCGTCTTGCTTTTTGAGGCGTCGTTGAGGCGGACCTAAAATTTTGAGAAGCGACTTTTCTGAGTCGAGTCGATCATCACACCATCCGTCACCAGACTCCGTTCGCGAGCGTCGCCAGCGCCGTTCGCGATCGTCGCGATGGCGAGTCAGAAAACAGTGACGACGGTGATCCGGCTGGTGATCAACGCGGGCCAGGCGAAGCCCGCGCCGCCCGTGGGGCCGGCACTGGGGCAGCACGGGCTGAACCTCATGGCGTTCTGTAAAGACTTCAACGCGCGCACGCAACACATCAAACCAGACGTCCCCGTTCCCGCGCTGATTACTGCATACTCGGTGAGTCTCCATGCTGCTTGCTGCGGCCAGCACGGGCTGCTGTGAACCTCATGGCGTTCTGCAAGGACCTCAACGCGCGCACGCAACACATCAAACCGGACGTTCCCGTTCCCGCTCTCATCACCGCATACTCGGTGAGTGTCAACGCAAGTCAACGCAAGTCAGCGCGTCGTGTCGTTGACTCTAGACTGGTTGAATGTTTCTGAGCTGGTCGGTGGCGGTTCCAGGCCCCGCGTGGGGCCGGGCCGGCGCTGGGGCAGCACGGGCTGGACCTGATGGCTCCGCGTGGCGTTGTGAAGACTTCAATGCGCGCACGCAGCACATCAAACCAGACGTCCCGATCCCTGCACTGATTATTGCAAGGATTGCGCTGCTTTCGGGTTGCGCTGGGACAGCACGGGCTGGACCTGATGGCTCCGCGTGGCGTTGTAAAGACTTCAATGCGCACACGCAGCACATGAAACCAGATGTCTGTGCACTGCACTCACCGAGTTGATCCCTGCACTGATTACTGCATACTCGGTGAGTGTCTGTCTGTGCTGTGCTGCATGCGGTTTGCCCTAAACCTCATGGCGTCTTGCAAGGATTCAACTCGCGCACACAACACATCGAACGCCATGAGGTTGAGTTCAAACATCAATATGCAACACATCGAACCGGACATCCCCATTCCCGCGCTCATCCCCCGCGTACTCCTCAGTGAGTGGTCATGCTGCATGATAATCTCTTCGCCGCTCAGTACCGTATTTGTGTGCAGTAAGTGTGTCACCGCGCTCATCCCCCGCGTACTCCTCGGTGAGTGTCCCTGCTAGTTGACACCGAACCGGACATCCCCATTCCCGCTCTCATCACAGAGGAGTACTCCTCGGTGAGTCTTGGTGCTGCTGCTTCCATCCGAAACATCCCCTGCCTTTCCTTATCACTGCGTGAAACTGGTGCTGTTCAGTCCACTGCCTTCCCTTATCACCACGTGATTGCTGCGAGTCAGCACCTCCCTTATCTTCTTCATCAGGATTCGCTCATATGACTTCATAATGCTCCCCTACCCTCCCTCTCCCCCTCACCCCACCCACACACCCACTTCCCTCCTCTTCACCTCCCTTATCTTCTTCATCAGGGCGCTCATCTGACTTTATACCCTCCCCTCTCCTTCTTGGCCCTCCACACCCACTCCACTTCCCGCCCTCTCCTTCGCCCCCTCCCCCCGCGGTCCTCCTGTCACCAGGATCGCTCGTTTGATTTCATTATCAAGTCCCCGCCCACGTCATACTTCCTGAAGCGGGCGGCGGGGCTGTCTCTGGGTGGCGGGGAGGCGGGGCATCAAATGGTCGGCGAGGTGTCCTTAAAGCACGTATATGAGATCGCCAAGATCAAGCAGCAGGACCCCGGGTGCAGCTACATTCCTCTCGAGTCCATCTGCCGATCAATTATAGGAACAGCTAGGTCCATGGGCATCCAGGTGAAGAAATCTCTTGAAGTCCCCAGCAGTACCTAATTGGATCAGTTTGAATACGGTTGTAACAGTTTGTTTTTTCTCAGAAATGGTGCGCGTCTGTGGTTCAAACAACAGGGTGTTCTAGGTCAGGAATCAGGATCAAGCAGCAGGACCCCGGGTGCAGCTACTTTTCCATCGAATCCATCTGCTGGTTGAAATTACTAGAGGTCCCCAGCACTAGCAGCTGAGTGGATTAGGTTTGCTATAGTTGGTTCAGTTTCTATCCTTAACAACGGTGTGGTGGTGTGGAGTTTCCAAACAGCAGACTTCTATGCCAGGATCAAGCAGCAGAACCACGGGTGCAGCTACATCCCTCTGCAGTCCTTCCGTAGATCGATCATCTCAACAGCACGGCTAGGTCCTTGTGGATTTAGGTTAAAATATCAATAGAGGTACCTACCCTACCCTAGCAGCACCAGCTGATTGAGTAGGTTGAGTTAGGTTGAACTTAGTTCTGGCAAGCCTGGATTGGCTTGGGCGTTGTCTCTTTACTAGCCTAAATTTCATTTTCCAACGTCCAATAGAAGTAAACGACCTCAATTTCATTCATCCAAGAAGAATATTCACGCAAGCACGCAAGCAATGCATGAGGTCCAGGCTGTACCCTATTTGCAGCTTCTCAAATGAGAAGCTTCTCAATAGCGTCCTGCACGACAAGCAAACAAGACAACAAAACAGGAAAATCAGATATTAACAAAACCCTCTTCGGCCAGCCAGGAAATATACACCTAACATATGTGTGTGCGCGCACAGGAAATCGCTCGACCAGAAGATTGGCAAATGGTCGAAATGAGGAAGCTTTGCTGACCTTGAGGTTTTGGATCTGCGATTTGAGCTGGCTGCCCTCGTTGGACGTCACGGAACATGCGATCGCAGGCCGCGACACACCGCACGCGCGCGCAGAGGTGGTTTTTGAGTCGACTCAAAAATCACCCTGGGAATACCGAATGATGCAGTATTGATTACCGTACCTTGAGGTTTTGGATCTGCGATTTGAGCTGGCTGCCCTCGTTGGACGTCACGGAGCACGCGATCACGGGCCGCGACACGCCGCACGCGCGCCCCAGAGCCTCCCGCGACGGCACGAACACGTACGGCACGTTCTGCATCGCAGAGCAAGCGGGAGGGCGCGGGGCGTGGGGTAGAGGCGTCGGGAGAGGGGTGGAGGGGAGGGGGGGAAGGGGATGGACGGGGAGGGGGGAGGATGGGAGAGGGGTGGAGGGGAGGGGGGGGGGGGGGGGGAGGCGGGAGGGGGGTGAAGATGTTGAGGGAGGTGGCAAGAAGCAGCACCAAAAAACAAATCAGACATGAAGACGAGACAGGCGCGAGAAGCGCGAGAAGCGCGAGAAGCGCGACAAACGCAAGAGACGCACCTTGTCCTCGGCGAGCAGCGGCAGGTGCAGCAGAATCTCGAGGGGCTCCGCGTCGGCCGCCATGACGACGAACTCCGAAATGCCGCGGTTCAGCGTCTTGGTCGCTGCGCGCGCGGGGAATGGGGAAGAGCGAGATACGTAAAACCCGGAAACACGTGAAGACGGTGGGAGGGGAAGGTGGGGGAACGGGTTCGGGGAGGGCGAAGGAGGGGGAGAGAGGGGGAAGGTGGGAGGAGAGGGGGGTAGAGGAACGGACAGATGGCAACCCGGCGCTGATCACTCTAAGCGCACAGATGCTAGAAACGTAAAGCCTTGAAGGCTTTAAACCCTTGGAGACGCATGTCCTACGACCAGCATAGACGGGGGCAGCT